CTACTTGTTACTGAATTGGAAGGACAGGGGTCGTTTCTTCTCATGAAGTCTCTGCATCCTCTTGAGTACCCCTCTCCTGCCCAACTGTTATCAAGCAGCTGCACTGAGGAAGACTTGGGTGCTGTTCAACAATCAAGGGGGAGGAGAGATGAAATAATTGGGGGTGGACGGGGATGACCGATGGGAGAAGTCACCAGTGCCCCATGCCCTGATTCAGAAGCGGGTTTAAAAACACTGGAGGTTGCCATTAAACTGCTGAATGAGACTTGTCTAAAAGTCATTTATTTGGTATTCATTTAGTACATTTTAATCCTACCCTTCCTCCAAGTTGTTGAGGGCAATGTACATGTTCTCCCTTCCATTGTATCCTCACGAGGACCCTGTGAGGCAGGTTAGGTTGAGACAGAGTGGCAGCGGGGGCCCGAAGTCAACCAGCAAGGCAGAATGAGGATTTGAATCGGGTCTCCTCCATTCTGGTCCAACACCCTAATGGCTACATGCTAACTCTAAATACTTTGGGGCTGAACTTTTAAAATCTAGCGTCCCAGGCCACAATGCTTCTTGTTTATCCATTGAACTGGATGGCAAAAATTCTTGAAATAAGAATATAGTTTCATTTAGTAGTTCTTACAGTTGTGTTCCTCTTTTCGTGGGTTTGTGGGTCCTATCAAGCACTTCAAAATATATTGTTCAACTTATATATAATGTTCAACTTATAGAAAACATTCCTTTTGAACTGTCTTCTGAGTTTCTGCAAAAGTGGGCAGAATTAAATATAAGGTGCAAGCTAAGGTCCAGAATTTAATTTTTTTTTCCTTTAGTTTATCCATCGGGATCTGGCGGCAAGAAATATCTTGGTTGGAGAAAATTATGTTGCAAAAATTGCAGACTTTGGATTGTCCAGAGGCCAAGAGGTTTATGTTAAGAAGACTATGGTAAGAGCCAAAATAAATTTTCTTGTACAGAGGCATCTGTCACATTATGGTGTTACCCATAAAAACGAGACACTTTTTTAAAAAGAAAAAGCAGAACGTAAACCTAGACTTAGTTCAGATAATCAGTGGGACAAAGGCACATTTACTTGTAAGTAAATACCCTTGAAATTCATGAGACTTTCTTCAGCTTAGTATATAGGATGAAATGTAAACCAGTTTAAGTGGGAATGTATTGGGTTTAGTGATGTATAGGTTTTACCTGTTGAGGGCTGATAAAAACAGATTGCTTACCTGTAACTGGTGATCTTCGAGTGGTCACCTGTGCATTCACACCCATGGGATTCAGTGCGCACGCGCTGGATCGATCGGCATTGTGGCAAGCTCTTTAACGGATTTTCGCGCCCAGACCTCGGGCATGCGCAAGAACCCCACCACGCGTGCCCAGAGGAGAGGTCGCGGACATCCCGCCAGTTCCTTTCTTACCGCCGCATTGGAAAGACTTCTTTCTGTCAGTGTGATCGGTTCGCTTTTTTGGCTATTTGCCTCACGGCTCTTCGGATTTTTCCTCACTTTTTCCTCTTGTCTTTAGTACTTCTTCGTTTGTTCTTTATAAAACTAAAAAAAAAATTGTGTGACATATCTTGTATTTCCATGGATCTCAATGGAGTCTGATCAGCTGTCCGGCAGCAACTCCAGAGCACACACTGGCTATATTTATACAACTGGGAAAGAGCTTATAAATGCCACCTGTACTTTACTACAAACAGTCATGCTCACACCAGGATCTCTTGAGCAAGCAGGTCTTCATTAGTTGCATTTCAAGGGACAAGCTGTGGCCCAGAGGAAGAGCATCTGCTTTGCATGTGAATGAATCCCCAACATCTCCAGTGAAATGAGACAGACAGGAGGTGACAGGACAGGCCTCTGCCTGAGATCTTGGAGACTCACTGCCAGCTGAACAGACAGGAGGAGGAGGAGGAAAATAAGGGTTGGATTTATACCCCGCCTTTCATTCACAGTCTCAGAGCAGCTTACAATCCCCTTCCCTTCCTCTTCCCACAACAGATACCCTGTGAGCAGTGTTCCCTCTAAGCTGAGTTAGTGTGAGTTAGCTCACAGTTTTTTAGCCTCCAGCTCACACATTTTTGTCTTTGCTCAGGAAGAAGGCTCCAGAGCAAACTAATTTATGCAGTAGCCAAATCGCTCGCTCACAACTTTAATGCCAGTAGCTCACAAAGTAGGATTTTTGCTCACAAGACTCCACAGCTTAGAGGGACCATTGCCTGCGAGGTAGGTGGGGCTGAGAAAACAGCTCTTGAGAGAACACCTCTGAGAGAACTGTGACTGATCCAAAGTCACCCAGCTAGCTGCATGTGGAGGAGTAGAGAATCAAACCCGGTTCCCCAGATTAGAGTCCGCCTCTCTTAACCACTACACCAAACTGGCTCTTGATAGAGTTGACCTCGATAGTCCGATGGTTATCTCACAATAAGGCAACATCAAGTGTTCCAGCTGATTCATTTGAGTGCAGAGAAAACAATCAACTTGTACAGAGGAATGCACGCATGGAGGGTAGAAGCTGCTCTGGACTGGCGAGTTTTGTGCACACATCATAGCTCATGTTATCAGCATCCCAAATATACAAATTCCACTAGTAGAAAGCACCATCAAAAATTGCCAAAACGCCTAACTTACATGACTGGCGTAATAAGTCATGGGATTATTTTGTTTTTGATAAATTGACGGTAGAACTGGAACACCCTAACTTAGAAAGGCGAAAACTTTATTTTGTCAAAAAATGGGCACCTTTTGTTCAAGCAGTTTTAGGTCATACAAATTTTTCAAATATCAACATAGTAAATCAATCTGATATAAATATGATCATTTCGTATTAGTAATAAATGGCACATTAGGTTAAGTTTATTATTACAGTTTATTGTTATGATATTATGGTATTTACTTTTTATATCCTTATACGCGGTTCACAGCTTGTTGTTAATAATTCAGACGGTTTTTGAATGTTAACTTTTGTAACACAATTTTTGTAAGTTCATGATAATTGTTGAATAAAGTATTATTTTAAAAAATTGCCAAAACAATTTTTGATGGTGCTTTCTACTAGTGGAATTTGTATATTTGGGATTCCTGTGACACTAGTCTTTCCCCCTTGTTGTTTGGATTTACTACATGTTATCAGCTTAGCTTGCTATGAGATGCTGTAATAAAATGAGAATTTTTGTCTTTTTAGGGAAGGCTTCCAGTGAGATGGATGGCAATTGAGTCCCTAAACTACAGTGTGTATACTACAAACAGTGATGTGTAAGTGTTTTTATAGTTTTCTAAGTCTTTTTATAATATTCTCTTCAGGACAGTATTACAGACAGGTGCTTTTGGGCTTTGACCATGCAGTGAGGAAAAAGAGAAAAACTGAATGGCAAAAAAAGAGCACAAAAGTGAAAGGAAAAATAAAAATCAATTAAGAATGGCACAAAGTTTTGAGTTTTGTAAATCTGCTTGAAAAGTTTGATTAGCACTGTAAGATATCAATTAGGAGCCGCCCCGGGGGAGAATGCCCTGCCCCTGGAAATCTTAAAGCAGCCTGAGCCACCCAGACAATGTTAGATCGGGATCGACCATTAGGATGGCATGGAAGTCGAGTGCCATCTTAGATGTAATGTTAAATTGATATCTGTTATTGGAAATCGGATTATTATTGTTACCACCTTTTAATATTGTTATTGCTATGGTTTTAAGATTGTCATTTTTTGCATTGTAGTTTTTATGTTGTTGTAAGCCGCCCTGAGGGCTTGGGAGGGCGGGGTATAAATATAAAAATAAATAAATAAATATCAATTTGAGAAAGAAACGAACAGAATGCAATTTTCACACAAATATTTAAGTATAAAGTTCAATGTATTAGTATTAGCCAATCTCTGGCAATATTGTTTGGGTTTTTTAAAAATGTGTATTCAGACTGTTTATTTGGACAATGAGGTCTCAGTCCTCCTAAAGTTCATTACAAGCTGTTAGGCAGTTTCTATAGGTGGGCTTGGTTGAAGGCTTTTTCTCTTCAAGCTAAAATTATACACTCTGACACCCAAGAGGGCTACCTCGGCTTAGTCAGAGAGGATTCTTATGTTTCTCACTGGGATAAACTTGTTGAACAATGACTACAGCTCCTCAGTCTTTCCTTCCTTTACTCAGTTACAAGATAGGAAGCCATGAGAACGATTAAGACACACCTATTTAAGTATGGTTTTAACAGTAGAGTTCAACATGTTTGTTCTACTCAACTTGCTGGTATTCTTCCTCCTGGAGAGCTTCCCAATTGCTGCTCATATTTGACTCTTCCTTGCTATAGGCATGCCTTTATGTTGGCAGACCTTAATGCCCTACCATTTAGAGTTTTGCAAGGGAGGTATCAGTATAACATACTCTGATAGAGCATGTGACTGTGGTGCAGGTCGTGTAGACACCCTGTAGACACCTTTGAATGTAATTACTTTTCTGAGCCTAGATAATCTTTTTTCTTTTACATGCTCCAAAATGTAGATCATGTGGGGAAATTACCTCATTTATTAGAAGATAATGGCAAAACTATTACTCTTTTAGCTGCAAAATTTTATACATCTGTGATAGATTTTTGCAGCCATTCGACTGGGGTCTAGATTTTTCTATATTTAATCATCTGCTTAGAAGTAATAAGAAGCCAGCCCCATAGCCAGGATTTTTTAATCTACCAGGCCCTCCTCTCATGCCTCCTGACTAAGGATGCCAGCCTCCAGGCGGGACCTGGGGGCATGGCCGGCAATGAGTGCAATAATTAACATTTTAAAAATGGAAGTCGGTGGGCCTGGGCTGGATGGGAAGTCAGGGGACCGGGCCCCGAGAGGCCCCACTGTAGCTACGGGCTTGTAAGAAGCAGTGTGAGGTAGAGGGAGGGGGTTAGGCAGCAGGAAGTCATTATTAGAGCAGGACTCTATTTCTTTAAGGAGCTGCGATGGCTCAAGTGGTTAAGACGCTGAACTGCAGTCTGTGGAAGGTCAGTAGTTCAGCAGTTTGAGACCCGAGTTGCCGCATGATGGAGTGAGCTCCCATCTCTAGTTCCAGCTCCTGCCAACCTAGCAGTTCGAAAGCAAGAAAGTGCAAGTAGATAAATAGGTACCACTTTGGTGGGAAGGTAACAGCGTTCTGTGCGCCTTGGTGTTTAGTCATGCCAGCCACATGACCACGGAAACTTCTTCGGACAGCACTGGCTCTTCAGCTTTGAAACGGAGATGAGCACCGCAACCCTAGAGTCGGACTCGACTGGCTTTCGAGCAAGGGAACCTTTACCTTTTACCTATTTCTTTGGGGAATAAGACAGTTAATTAAAAGATCCTTTCCCATTTTTATCAATGATGGTTTAATATTTATTATTTTGTATGCCATCATCTATCTTTTGTATCATGGAAAAATATTTTTTACTAACATCTAGTACCAGGATATCAGATGGCTTGGATGTCGGAAACAAGTATACCTTGTCTGTCCATACAGCATTAGGTTTTCATTGTACATTTAGTCCTCTAAAGACAATTAATGTTAAGGTGTTAATGGCATTTCTTTTCCCATTTGCAGGTGGTCCTATGGTGTGCTTTTATGGGAAATAGTTAGCTTAGGTAAGTATCCATTTTTAGAATGATTATTTCCGTGAAGAGCCTAAGGAGAGCTGTGCTGGACAAGACAAAGAAGTTATCTAGTCCAGCATCCTATTCCCAACATTGGCCAGTTGTATGTTCGAGAGAGGTCCAGAGGCAGGACATGAAGGCTACAGCCCTACCCCACTGCTTCCTCCCCAGCAACAACCAAGTTATGCTGCTTGTAAACTGGAAGAGCAGCAGTTCAATTTGAAGATTCATCACTATTTAACCTCCTTTGAAAGCTATCTAAGCCACAGGACGCCACTACCACCTTTTATGGCAGCAAATTACAAACGTTCTGTGTGTTCTATGAAGAAATTCTTTCTGTTTTCTGGCCTGAATCGATTTCCAATAATAATTCTAAGTTTTTCTTACTATATTATATTATTATAGGAGAGGGAAAATGTCCCTCTCTCTGCACCATTCATCTCTTTTTATTGATGTGTGAGTTTTTCCTCTTAGACAAAGTGCTTTGACCTCTTTATTATTATTTTAATTATCATTTCCTGTATCTTTTCCAGCTCCAGAATACCCTTTTAAAATGGGGCAACCAGAACTGTACATCGGATTCCTAACATGACAACACATTATGATACTGGCTGTGTTATTTTTGATCACTTTCCTAATAACCCCTTGTGAAATTTACCTTTTCTTCTGCCGTTGTACACTGAACTGATATTTTCAGTAAGCAATTTATGACAGAGTTGCCAGACACCCCATGTTGGCTGGCAGGGGGACTTATCAGTAGAAAGAGGAAGGCCCAAGCTGTGTTGGTGGCATCACACAGGAAGTGATGTCATGACACCAGCAACTTCCAGGTAACACTCTGGTATTTGGGCAAAAACCCTATGGTAGATGTTGGCTTTTGCCCAAATACCAGAGCATCACTTGGAAATCGTTGACATGATAATGTCACTTCCTGTGCAATGCTGACAATGTGGCCCTGGGCCTTTCTCTTTCTCCTGGTAAGTCTCCACCCCAATCTTGCTACCAGATGCCTTGGAGTATATACACATTAGCTCAATGCTTTTATATTTAACCTAATAGATATAAACTCTAGTGTATTTAATGAAGTGAACTCTGACTCACAAAAGCTTATGCTGTTATAAATTTTGTGCTGCTGGATTCCTGTTTAATGTCGCTGCTACAGACCAACACAGCTACCCATTACAAATTAACAGGAAATGGAAGCTCGGTCTTCTTCAAATTCACTGCCAAACAGAGCATCTTCAAGCAGTGTTCTTCCTTTTTAACCTAAAACAGATCTCGACAAATTGCAATCCACCAACCATCTACTGCAGCCTCCCTGGCACTTGACAGCATTGCCAATTTTTGTATCCCAAAGCAATAATGGGAAGTTTGTTGAGCTCCTGGAGGTTGGCAAACATGTCTGGTGGCCTGTGCTAGGATTGGTGGCTTTGAGGTTCAACTTTGCCTAGGGCAATTATCTGATCCCCCACCCCCGACCCCAGCTGTTGATGCATCATTGATACTATTAGAAGGCAATTGCTCACACTGTCATTTTTAACAGTACAAAAATGTCATTTATAACATTACAAAACAAAACCAAAAATCCTTAAGCATCACTAAATCCTCTATTCTAGGTGGAACACCATACTGTGGGATGACTTGTGCAGAACTCTATGAGAAGTTGCCACAAGGATACCGACTGGAGAAACCTCTCAACTGTGATGATGAGGTGTAAGTAATTTATCTTTCAGACGCTTCTTCTTTACACTTTCTTTGGCTGATGGCATTTTAGAAAGACCCCAATCAATCCATGTAGTTGAGGAGAGGGAAGATTACTTCAGGTTAGTGAGAAGGTGGACTTAACAAGAATACAATATACTTCAATACATTTTGTTTAGAGAGCAGGAAGTGAAATTCTAGACTTACCTTATGAGAGCTTTCAGAGGAGCGGGACATAATTTCTTCTATGAGCCTCATAAAAGGCATTGCAACAGGATAATTTTTGAGGTCTTTGGGAAAGACTGGGCTTTTTATGCTCACGAGTCTCGTAGACCATCAGATCTACTGAATAATCCCAGGTTTAAAGTGAGCTGTTAATAAGTATTTTAATTCATAAATATGCTATTATGTCTGATAGTAAGTCTTCCTCCTCCTTCAGTTATGATCTGATGAGACAATGCTGGAGAGAGAAGCCTTATGAGAGGCCGTCATTCGCTCAGATACTTGTATCACTGAACAGAATGTTGGAAGAAAGAAAGGTATGGATGATAATAAAGAATATTCTCAGCCCTGATTACAGGGTTATCTTTGTGACATGGTTGCCAGTACAAGACTTTGGCTTAGATGCCACAGTAAATCTCTGCTGATGGAAGGGAATTCTGTCAACGGACTGGGACTTCCCCATCTTCCCCATCCCACAGCCTTGGGGACAGTGGAACACCCCCCCCCCCGAATAGCATGGTGGGAGAGTTGGAGGTCTGCAGCAAGAGGGGATTGGTAAAAACCGTCCCTCCCTTCCTTCCTTCAACAGAAATTTCCCACAGGATCCAATATCTTGTCCCATAGGCAGCTTCTGTACCACATGCACATCCCCTGGGTAGCTTGGCATGTACAGATAGTTTGTGTTAGTGTCATTTCTCCCGAGTATTTATTCTGATGGGTTAGCCAAATGATATTTCATATATCACTGCTGGATCATGTTCTAAGATGTTTCAAGATAGAAGGAAAAGAAATGGGCTGGAATTCTGTGCAACAGTAAGAACTGACATGGGTTTCTAAGTGTGAAATAAAACCTGTTTTGCTGATTGTTTTCTTCCAGACATATGTGAACACTACCCTATATGAGAAGTTCACCTATGCAGGCATTGATTGTTCTGCTGAAGAAGCTGCTTAGGATGGAAGAGCTTCATTTATTTAAGCACCCAAATACCTTGATCTTCTGGGACAAAAAAAAACCATGCAGTGATGTTAAATGACATATCGTGCTCTCTGTACAGGACCTTTTAACTACACATCAGTATCTTACAGTGAGTTCTGTCTCAGTATCCTGTAGGACTGTGTACATAAGTGTGTGTGTGTGTGTGTGTGTGTGTGTGTGAGAGAGAGAGAGAGAGAGAGAGAGAGAAAGAGAGAGAGAGAGAGAGAGAGAGAGAGAGCATATATACATACACAGACAGACGTATATATGCTTTTTGGAGTGAGAAAAAGGGCTGAAATAAATACATTGTTCTACGTTTTATAGACAATTATGTACTGATTTTTTTAAACTAAAAAATTGGATCCAGTGCAATCCCATGAGCCTCTGCACAGTGAAAGATTGGAGATGGTACCTAAAGGAGAATATTCAAATAACACACAAACACAAATAACAGAGAAACTTCATGCTCACTGTAAAATATAGACTAAGTTATTACGAATTTACTGCTTTTTAATGGGACTTCAAAATCTGCCACTAATGTAGGCTGCATCAATCTGCCTAGGACAGCCTTGACATAGAGAGAAACAATGACCACAGCACCAGTTCAATATTAAGGTAAAGGTTTCCCTAGCTCAAAAGCTAGTTGAATCTGACTCTAGGGGGCAGTGCTCATCTCTGTTTCCAAGCCGAAGAGCCAGCACTGTCTGAAGATGTTTCCGTGGTCATGTGGCCGGCATGACTAGACACCAAGGCACACAGGATGCTGTTATCTTCCCACTGAAGTAGTACCTATTTATCTACTTGCAATTTCTTGCTTTCGAACTGCTAGGTTGGCAGGAGCTGGGGCCAGAGATGGGACCTCACTCAGTCACACGGCACTAGGGTCTCGAACTGCTGACTTTCCGGTCTGCAGCTCAGCATCTTAACCTCTGAGCCACTGCGGCCCCAGTTCACTATTAGGACCTCGCAACATCATGCTTGCAATTCAAAGTACAAAGCCAAGGTAATCCTAGAGCAATACCACTGCTTCTCATATCTCTTACACAACTGAGAAATATTATTTATTTGATTTCTATTCCATCTTTCAGTTTGAAGGGTCCCCAAAGCATTTTACACAGAATAATAAAACATAATTAATTTAAGGAGGCTTTCATCACCTCTGACATAGCAACGGTTAAGGATGGCACGACACCCAACCACAAGTTCACATGAATTTATCTTCATCTCTTGATTTGGTATTGGTTATCTTTTTAATTTCACTTGTTAAAAAATAAGACATTTATTTATTTTATTTATTTCATTCGATTTCTTAACCGCCCTTCCCCGCTTACGCGGGGCTCAAGGCGGTTTACAACAACATAAAATCCAATACAATTTTAAAACCAGTTAAAACTACAAAATTCAATATTAAAACTTTCAGCATAAATATTTAAACACTTTAAACAAGATGGCATATCTAGCATTCAGATTTTCATGAGGGAGACGGGAGGGTGCCGGGCAGATGTAAGGGAACCGTCGCTGGCCTCAACCAAAGGCAACCACAACAGTGTTCCCAGCATTCTAGGCTTGGTTTCTGTCAGTAAAAAGCAGGTGAAGGAGGCAGAGTCCTTTCCAGGGATGTTTTAGTCATTGAGGGAGGACTCATCATGGCCAGGCCTGGCAGCAACTACTGAGCCACTGGCTACCGTACAGTTTACACAACTTACCTGGGCTTGGCTGGTTGCTATTGTTCAAAAGCAGACACTCCACAAAAGTCAGTGTTGTGTAGTAGTTAGAGTTCAGACTAGGGTCTGGGAGATCCTGCTTCAAATTACCACTCTGCTGTAGAAGCTCATTGAGCGACCTTGGGCCAGTTACAAATTCTCAGCCTATCTTACCTCACAGGGCTGTTGTAAGAATGGAGAAGAGAATTATGTAAGCCACTTTAGTTCTATGTTGTGAATAGGAATGGGCATGAACTGGCTCACAAACTAACGTTTGTGATGAATTTTGGCCGGTTTGTGCTTTGTGAAGTCAAGTTCATGGCAGGTCAACTGGCATGAATTTTCAAGCTGTTTGTGGAGGTTTGTGCCAGTTTGTGAGTGGATACATTTCCAGCCTCTCTCCACTCAATCAAAATGTTTACAAAACTTCAAAGCAATGACTTGGAGGGCATGTAGAGGAGCATCCAGGAGAGGTCTCCCAAAACTCTGATGTCTCTAGTTCGCACAGGGTCTACTCTATACTCTCCCGAACCTGTGCCTGTCAAAATGACCACCTGCATCATTTCCCCAGAAAGCACTTTCCTGGGGGCATCTTCTTTGGAGGGGCTGTAACTCAGACCCCATAAATCCAATCCTCACCAAACTTGGAGAGCAGTTACAGGAGTCAGCCAGAGATCCCTGTGAGTTTTGTGTCTCTAGTACGTGGGGGGGGGCATTCTCCCGCCTCATGAACTGAACTGGTTTGTGAGGCAGCTACAAGTTCACGACAGTCCACGGTTCGCAAACGGAGAACGCCACGAACTGAACCACATTTTCCCAGTTCGTTCCCATCCCTAGTTGTGATAAAGGCAGTGTATAAATGAGATAATAAATAATAAATGTAGCTGATAATGGGGAAGTAGATTAAAGGTAAGTCGGTTTGGTGGATGGGAAGGAGAGAAGGAAACAGGAAAATGGGTCTCTCACTTGTATCTAATTCTGAACATGGTAAAAATGTGGCCAGAAAAACAGGCAGAACAAGGCCATGTACAGAGAAGTGGGGGAAAAGTGATGGGGTTTGTTTTGTTCATGTTGCACAGTTGACCCCGTGGACCACATCATACCAGGCCCTCCTGTCTTCCGTCGTGCTCCAGAGTTTAACTTCATATTCGTTGCATCAATAACACTAACCATCTCATCCTTTGCCATCCCCTTCTTCTTTGACCTTCAATCTTTCCCAGCATCAGGGTCTTCTCCAGTGAGTGCTCCCTTCTCATCTGGTGGCCAAAGCTTCAGTATCTGGCCTTCCAGGGAACAGTCAGGGTTGATTTCTTTTAGGATTGACTGATTCTATCTCCTTGCAGTCCAAAGGACTCTCAAGCGTCTTCTCCAGCACCATAATTCAAAAGAATCTTTCTTCGATGCTCGGCCTTCCTTATAGTCCAACTCTCGCAGCCATACATTACTACTGGGAATACCATTGCTTTGACCATACAGACTTTTGTTCGCAGGGTGATGTCTCTACTTTTTATTATGGTGTCTAGGTTTGCCATCGCTTTCCTCCCAAGGAGCAGGCGTCTTTTAATTTCATGGCTGCAGTCACCGTCTGCAGATCTTGGATCCCATGAACGTGAAGTCTGTCACTGCTTCCATGACTTCCCCTTCTATTTACCAAGGAGTGATGGGGCCGGATGCCATGACCTTAGATTTTTTGATGTTGAGTTTCAAGCCAACTGTTGCGCTCTCCTCTTTTACCCTGAGCAAGAGGCTCTTTAGGTCCTCTTCACCTTCTGCCATTAGAGTGGTATCATCTGTCAATTGTTCCATGTCCGGTTCTGTCGCTTCTTGACCCTTATACAGGTTTCTCAGGAGAAACGTTTCTCATGTGAGGTGGTCTGGTACTCCCATCTCTTTAAGGACTTGCCATAGTTTGTTGTGATCCACACAATCAAAGGCTTTAGTGTACTCAATGAAGCAGATGTTTTTCTGGTACTCTCTTGCTTTCTCCATAACCCAGTGAATGTTGGCAATTTGATCTCTAGTTCCTCTACCGCTTTGAAACCCAGCTTGCACTTCTGACAGTTCTCTATCCACATACTGCTGACAGTACGTGGACAGGGGTTTACAAAACCCCAAAACTAAAGGGGGAAAAAGATTCCTTGTGATAACATGTCACAAGATCAGCCACCATCTTGGGAGTTGCCCAGAAATCCCAAGATGCATTAGGCAGAGGCTGCTAGCTCAGAAAAAAGTCAGCAGCCAGGGAAGCAGGTGATGACTCCCAGTGATGTTTGGGCTGAGTATGAGGCTGCAGCCAGTTTGGTGCTTAGTAGCCCTCCTGAGTCAATGGGCACTGATCTCTGGGGGGCACTCTCTGTAGGGTGATCTCTGGAAGGCACTGTTAGTAGCCCTCCTGAGTCAATGGGCACTGCTGTAGGGGGATCTCTGGAGGGCACCAAACATCAACCCTGTTTGTGGTGGGAAGGCAGCTGTGGCTGGCTGCTCCACCCCAGTCCAAACACACTATTCAGTATCTGCCTCCTCCAACTGTCTTTTTTCCCTCCTGATGACAAGGAAGAGCTGGGGGCTGGAAGGTAAACTGAGGAAAGGGAGGCAGTGGGAAGGCAAGGAGGAAGTGGAGACTGTTCTGCCAGGAAAAGCTTTAAAGGGACTATACAGTGTGAAACTGCTGAGTTTAATTTCTTGGTGAATTCTAACTTTTTCACATCCTGGCTTCAATTAGGATGTAGATTTCCTCAGTCATTTTAATAGCTAACAACTGAATAGGACCTTCTTTGTAGAATCTGGAATGCATTGTTCTGAACATGCTGTGTCATATCACAACTTTAATGTCAGTTCAATTGCTCATGCTTCGGACTACTTCTTCCTTAATTTTTTTTTAATCTTCCCTGAATGAGAGGTTCTCTCATCGTCCATTATATATAGCCAAGCCATGCCATTCAGTCACAACTGGCTTATGACAGCAGGCCTTTGTTCAACTCCCCCCTCCCTTTCTGTAATTTGCCAAGTGAAAACTATTTTCTTTCTTCCCATTGGAGCTCAGGAAGTGAGCTCTGGCTCATGACAGCTTATGCTGGAATAAATGTTACTCCATAAGGTGCCACTGGACTTCTGTTTTGATAGGAGACAAAGTACAGAAAGGAATTTTAGACAGTGGTCAACATTGTCTGGTAGCAGGCAGTTTGAAAACATGAGCACATTTCCCATGGCAGTCTACATCCTCTTGTGATATAACATGCAGCATCTCCACTTCAGAAATATGTCTGCACCCTCACTTTGAATCCATCACAGCAGACTGAATGACATGTTTGGGTTACCTTTCAACCTTTTCCCACCAGATGCAGAAATAACTTTTGAAAAAGTGAAGTTACGAAACATTTTAAGTCTTTGGCTCCTGTTCTCTTTAGAAGAGGCAATACATTACCTTACAAAAAGATGTCTGCTTTTTGTAATACATCTCGTGGATTAGGAACATGTCTTTACAAAATGATACCACATACATTAATCTTCATCTTTCTCATTGTTTCAGAAACCTTAAACGGCTATATTATTTTATCTATTTATTTTCTACCCTGCCCTCCCCACTGTGGCAGGCTCAGGGTGGCTTACATGGATTAATAAACAGCTAACACAAATATAGACAAAATCATAAACAGTGTAAATATAAAAACATTGCAAAGTGCTTTTGCGAGATGGTTCATATACAATGGTGGACATAAGCAGTATTCAACAAAATAAACTATCAGCTACCATCATTGTCTGGGTTATGCAGTCTGTTAATAATAATGTCAATGTTGATGTTAACACTGGGGCCAGGGCCTCAGTTTGTATGATGCTGCTCCCTAGTCGAAGGTCTGATGGAAGAGCTCCATCTTACAGGCCCTGTGGAATTGTAAAAGGTCCTGCAGGGCCCTGTTGTCTTCCGGGAGCTCATTCCACCAGTGTGGAGCCACCACTGAAAAGGCCCTGGCCCTCATCATAGCCAGCCTGGCTTCTCTGGGGCCCAGCAGAGCCAGATGATTTTGGGACCCTGATCGTAGTGCTCTCTGGGGAACATGTGGGGAAAGGCGGTCCCTTAGGTATGTAGGTCCCTGACCAGCATAGCCAGTAACAACAGTAATCTTATACTAATACTAAATGGATATTATATAGAACAGCAACAATACAAAGTCTTAAGTTCTGATATCCTGTGCAATATTGTAATCCTCATGTACGTTCAAGCAGGCTGAAAGATTTGTGGAGATGTAAATACTTAACTAAGACCACAGGCTGCTCCACAGAACTAGTGCTGCACAGAGTCATGGATTGGAAATGAAATGGCAGAGAAAGAAATGAAAACATACAGCTTTTATAGTAAGCTTCTGTTTTTTAATAATAGAATATACAATTTTCCCTTGCTGATTTTTAACCAAGTACAGTTCAATAGACAAAAACATTTTTTTCTACAACAGTAGGTCAAAGTTAGACAAAATAGGCATTTAACTTTTATCTACACACCTTTTAGCAAGACCCAGTAAATAAATGCAAGAACATAATTTTTATCATTTGTTTTGTCCCTAAGAAAGCTAAACTCTGGTTGCTGAAGTAGAAGCCAGTGACAGCTGAAAAACAAGACAGGCGGAATATTTGCATTAAGGAAATACAAGTTTCATAAAAATAAAGTACAATGTTCTTTCCAAACTACATCAGAAATTTTTCACTGTTTACATTAGAAGTTCTGAGCAGCTCCCAAAGCTCTTGTAATCAGCCTCAACATTATATTTAAAAAAACATAATTTGGATACTGAGTTTAACTGAACCTTCTTGCACAGCCTAAGGAAACATATACTTAGTACAGTAGTCTTTTGAATTAATATAATTACAATGGTATAAAATTGCTTTATGACATTTTAATGGTAGTCATCATCTTTTGCCATTGACGAAGAAAGGCTGTGTTCTGACTGTTGTTGAGAGAAATCATTATCTTCTACCTTTACTGTCCTCTCTCACTTTCCAAAGCATTAATTCCATACAAGCAGTTGCATCTTCACTAGAATCATGACCACCCACTAGGAAGAACAATATTCAACCACGTTATTTAATAGATTGGTTCAAATTGAAATCAAATAACTATTTAGTAATTAAAGTAACAAACCTAAGCACTTTCCTTTATTCATTTCCTTTTAAACTAAATATAAGGAACTTAATACTTGAAGAACCAGCTTGGGTGTATTTAATGACTAAAGGACAAAATTTTATTGAGAATGGGATATAAATACTAGATGCTCTCAGTTCTGAAGTTGGTTCCGACATCCCTACATTTTATTTGATATGCTCAAGTTTTCACTTGTAAGGAAAAAGAAAAAAGAAAAATTCTAACACCTTGTTTCTGCAGAGAGAGATAATTGGTCCAGCACCACTTTAACTCCCCTCAGCACGCATTAAGCATGAGGGAAATCTTCCCGAACTAAACGGATGTGTGTCCTAGCAAAGTGCTCTGTACACTCTAGTGCACTGACAAATAATAACAGTGAAAATTCCAAGAACAGTATATAATCTGTTTCTTAAAAGTAACACCATAAAATAAAGGTGAATTTAAAAAGGCAGCATTTGAACTTGTACAATACACACTTTCACATGGCCCACGGTGGCCCTACTCCAAGGAAATACTGGAAAATGGTGTATACCCAAGTAAGCACTGAACAACCATTCAGAGTCCACTTACAGCTCATGGCGGTATTTAGTAATACTATGCTTTTAATTACAAAAACTGCCTGCTTAAGGCTTTTCAGGCCACACCCCCTTCCCCCTCATGTAAGCCTACGGAACACTTTAGTTTTTGAATTGTAAAACTGCTCTACAGTAGTGGAGCCATATCACCATTACATGTGTGATCACATGTATAAATTTGCTCACAAATCACCAGAATTTCATTGGCGTTATAAAGAAAGAAAAAATATATCCCTCTAGAGTTATGTACAGTGTAGGGGAAGAAAGGATGAAAATACATTTATGCATGTATTTTGAAAATACATATCTAACAGCTTAACTGTTAGAAATACGTGTCTGAAAGTGACAGTTAACTGAAACCAATGAAGTATATATAATGGCATATGGAAGCTGATGGCATTGATTGTATGTGCCAACTACAACTAAAGCCAGAAATACTGTTGTAGTTTGACCACTGTGAGCTTAACTGTTAGAAATAAATATATGGAAACTACTTCAAATGCTATCATAACTATTGCTAATATTAAAACGTCTGGCCCCTGAGTAGGTGGCAAAAGAATAAAAACCATGCCACCAACAGATAAAACAGGATGATCTATTGAGGAGATACATCCCAATTACACAGTTAATAAACATAACTTAAAAACGCATCCTAATGCTAACTAAAAACGATCCCAAAGTGGGGGGGGGGGACCAGTCTGCTCAAACCTGTGAAAATTTACATAATCCTGGAGGAAGCGATTTTGCAGTGTGGGAATGTATAAACCAACCCCTTCTTTGTGGGCTACCAGCCTAGCTCCCTCTGAGAATTAATAGTTTGTCCCAATCAGTGAGATGAAAAAACACAACCAATGAAAGTAGACAACCTGCAGCTATGCAGAAAGGTACTTTTCTTCAAAACTACCCCCACGCGGCGGGGGATATGTTAATTTTTTTTCAAAACTGTCCAAAACAGGACTGCACATGGATTTATCCAAGATTAAAGCAATATATAGGCACAAGTGCTCTGTCCATCAGCAAGCCTCTGCCTTCCCTACAACCTCAAGGGAGGGGAGAAAAATAAGTGGGGGATCAGGTACACTCATGCCAACCACTGTTCCCATCATTTCTCAAATACCCTTTAAAAGGAAACAGTCCATCGGGGCAGAATCATTAGGATTGGAAGAAGTGCTTTATGAACGTACCTTTAAGTTGCAAAGAGGTAGACAATTTAACACCTTAAAACATCAGAAAGCACAACTAAGCAATTATCACCTAGCAAACAAGCCAGTTTGGTGTACTGGGCAGGAGCCTGAACTCTGAGCTGGGAGAACCGGGTTTGATTCCCCACTCCTCCACATGCAGCTGCTGGTATGACCTTGGGTCAGTCACAAGTTCTCTCACCCTCACTTTGAAAATGATGCCTCCAGAGAGCCATATTCTATGAGGGATCTGAGCAGGATATTACTATTCCCAGTGTGTTTTTGGGAACTGTCAGCAACATGCTCAGATTCCTGCCCCCCCCACACACACACACAATTGCTTCCGGAGCAAAGGTCAGCTTAGTATCTATTGCTATTAACATTTAGGGGCTATATGGTGTAGTGGTTAAGTGTGCGGACTCTAATCTGGGAGAACCGGGTTTGATTCCCCACTCCTCCACTTACAGCTGCTAGATGACCTGGGACAAGCCATAGTTCTGTCAGAGATGATCTCTCAAGGACAGTTCCGGAAAGTGCTCTCTGAGCCCCACCTACCTCACAGGGTGTCTGTTGTGGGGAGGGGAAGGGAAAAGAGTTTGTAAGCCACTCTGAGACTCCAAGTGAAGGGTGGGGTATAAATCCAATCTGTTCTCTCTCTCTTCTCTTCCTGAGTTTGGGCAGGAGACAGTGACAGGTCACTCAGGCCACCCAAAAAAGGCAACTCTGATCAATCCAGACCAAAAGCAAGTGGAAAAGAGGTAGGAAGGTGCATCATGGGTAAGGTAAGGGAGATGGGAACTGGAAGAAGAGAGCAAAAGGCAAAAGACAAAGGGAGGTAGAAGGAGAATCACAAATGGCTTGGTTTCCCCCCTCATAACCTCTTCCCCATGCCTTGTATTTGCCCTATTAAAATACATTCAGTTCCTCTCTTCATTCACCTCAGAGGCACATCATGTAATAATGCTGTCTATCGAAGAGACAGTGGACAATGGCAATAGCACTCAGGAAGTCTCATACCATTGGTTTTTCAATTGAAGATCATATGAGAACTGGAGAACCTTTCCAACATAGATATGTTAACCCTAGTTCTTCCTTGTGAAATTAGAGCTGGTTCACACATCCAGATTCACTCAGAAAACTGCAGACATAGCAGGAAGGACACTATGCCCTCTGCCAGTCAGACTGCACTTTCCCCCCCAGGAAGAATGCCACAGCAAGGAGATCAGACTTTCCCCGGCCATCAACCAGGTCAGATGCCAGGAACTTGCTTTCTCCTTCTCTGCCTGTAAGTATCCTGCTTAATTGTCAGTTGCCTTGGGACTATAGATGAGGAGAATGCTGCATTTGCTTTTATGACATTTTTAAGATTATTTGAGTGACTGTTGGGATCCTAAAATAAATTTGAAATAAACCAACAAATGACAACTTGATTAGTAAAGTCACAGCTTGTATGCATGAAGGGGCCACTGACACTGCACAGTCGCCTAGATCCAACGAATCGCCAGTGGAAGGCACTGATGGTCAGGAATGGCTGCAGACTACAGGATCCATCTGAATACTTTCAGATCTGATGTCATCTTAAGTGTCACAAGTTTAGAGCATCCACAATTCAAACACTGGGCAAGGTCAATTACTTGCTTAAGTTTGAAGACAGCAAACCGTATTCTGGCCACTTTTTTTTTTTTTACTATTAATTGTGCAAAAAATAGTGTTCACTTTTGCAAATGGTCTTACCATCATCCTGAATAATTCTTCTGAGATAATCAGCTATTAGATTTCTAAGTGCTCTTTTATGAGGAAAACCTAGACGATGAGGAAAAACTACGGATGTATCCACGACATTACTGTGAAAGAACTGCAAGAAAAATAAGCGGGATGATTGAGTGGCATTTCAAATTGTGCTTTGTGCTTAAATTGTCTCCTTAAAATATTCCTGTGGTAAAGAACTACCACTTCTCATATAACTACTTTTACAATATCACATTTTGACATGGACCACTTTCACAAAGATGCTTTGCTCTGCCTTGGCTTCCTTACAGTAGCACTGTTTTCAGGAGTATCCACATGATGTCCTCTATTTCACCTGCTTCTGTATTTTTATTTTAATTTTTATTTATTTAACCTTAGACTTTATATCCCGCTCGAACCCTCTTTCTCAGGGGGTCTCTGAGCGGCTTACAAGTGGTGCTAGTCACACAATTTTTCCCTAACTAGGGCCACAGAGTCTGTAGGGGTGGGACTACCTATCGGCACCCCTGTGGTGGTTGGTGTGTTTTGTTCTTGGCTCGGCACTCCAATCGTCTCCGGCAGGCTCCTATTTCGAGATTCTCAAACACTGGGCAAGGTCAATTACTTGCTTAAGTTTGAAGACAGCAAACCGTATTCTGGCCACTTATTGTTTTTTTTACTATTAATTGTGCAAAAATAGTGTTCACTTTTGCAAATGGTCTTACCATCATCCTGAATAATTCTTCTGAGATAATCAGCTATTAGATTTCTAAGTGCTCTTTTATGAGGAAAACCTAGACGATGAGGGAAAACTACGGATGTATCCACGACATTACTGTGAAAGAACTGCAAGAAAAATAAGCGGGATGATTGAGTGGCATTTCAAATTGTGCTTTGTGCTTAAATTGTCTCCTTAAAATATTCCTGTGGTAAAGAACTACCACTTCTCATATAACTACTTTTACAATATCACATTTTGACATGGACCACTTTCACAAAGATGCCTTGGCTTCCTTACAGTAGCACTGTTTTCAGGAGTATCCACATGATGTCCTCTATTTCACCTGCTTCTGTATTTTTGCCAGCTTTGCTATGATTTTTCCTAAGGTAACCAAAAAGGTTGAACAAAGACATAGAAAATAAAACTATGCATGTAGTGCGAATGTACAAAATATAATATATAATTTAATAATACAACCATGAATGCTAAAATAGCATTTAAAAACAACAACCCCATGGTTAAGCATATAAGTACCTAATCCCAATATGAAGACAAATGTCCAATCATATAAATACAGGTTAAAAGGTACATAATGTCTCCATATGCAAAAACCACTACCAAATATATGTTGTGTACATTTGCACTATGTGTATAGTTATATTTTATTTTCTTTGTCTTTGTTTCAACCTTTTTGATTACCTTTCTCATGCAGGGTTGTGTTTTTCTCCCCTTTTCTGGTTGTATTCATGATTTTTCCTAAGCCTGGTTCACTGTGATCTTTTTGGAAAAGAAGCAGTCTTGACACTGTGCATTTTTGCAAGTTTCTCCTGAATCAGCACCATTTTCCTCGCCTCAGCCCCTGGAGCCTCCATTTCTTCCCATACACATACCAGAAAACTTAAAACAAAAATCAGGACTCTCTAGATCAGTACAATGCTAACACACTGTAACAATCTATTACCACAATCTACTACTTCCCAGATTCCATTAAAAATAAACTCTCTAGCCCTTTTCACTGTGGAAGTCATAAGGGGAAAGGTGCAGGCCATAGACCATTGAAGTATATTGTTAGATTATTATTACAGTGCTATAATGATCTAGCTATTCCTGATTTATTAAACAGTCCTCTGGTGGAGTGGGAAGAATGATGTTGAAGTAGTTTAAATGTTGGGGAAATGGCTGTGTGAATTGGGCTCTGTTCCCACTGCAAATACCTCTGAATTTGCAGCAGCAAGGAAGGATACGCAAGAAACAGTATGAAAGGTTATATAAAGTATAAACAATTACATCTCAGATGTACAGCATGACATAACTCACAGTTCCACCTAAAACAGAGTTATATCCTTCTCAACACAGTGACTTCAATGGACTTAGAAGGGAGTCATTTTAGGAATGCACTGCAGAATTTTTTTATCTGGGGACTATTGTTTTAACAATGTAAGCATAAACTTGAGAAGATTTCAAACTATTATACCTTAAAGAGCTAATAATTCTGTACAAACTTACCTTAAGAGCAAATAAATCACTCTCTAAACCATAGCCAATTAAAATACTGTCTGCACTGAACAAGTTTAGCAATACTGCCTGCACATCCCTAATTGACGTTCCAGTATTCTCCATGTCTTCTGCTGTTACTCCAGAAAATCTAGGAGAGATCAAAGAAACACAAAATAAATAAGCACTATTAGTGCCTAATAAAAGTAGAGAGGTGGAAGAGGGGTGAATGCTTTAGAAAATCAGGTCATGTACCCTTCTTAAGATCAATTTGATTTTATGGCAGATATTACTGAAGGATTTTCAGTGACCTATAACTGGCTTTAATACTTTCTTCAATTTAATATTTTCTTCAAAATGTTTCAGTTTAATTAATTAAAAGGAAGGCATTGGTTAGCATTCGTTTCAAAACACTCTAGCTCTGAAACTGAGGGCATCTCTCTCTCTCTCTCTCTCTCTCTCACACACACACACACACACACACACACACACACTTAAGGAATTAACATCTATGCAGCCTGCACAGCGGTATTCATGCTTTAATATGCTTAACAAGAAACTATCTTATAGGTACTTTAAGTTTCTTTAACTTGTCCACTTTTCCCCCTCTAATATAAAACAGCACTTAAGGCTCCAATGTACAAGTCTTTTAAAAGTAACTGAGACATGATGTAGTTCACAAAGAAATGCCAAAGCAAAAAGAAGCAATTGTGTCAGCTATAAGGAAACAGTGGATTAGAACCATGGCTTTTGTCTACACTATCACCTCTTGATAGTTTGCTGTTTAAACTACTCAACATACCTATTGTTATAATCTATGACTTCATTATCTGGCTTCACAACTGTATCATAGACAACTTGAAGAGAAGGATCAACTATCGTCACCCTGGAGAGTTCCAGACCACGTGTTGTGTAGCACTAGGAAAGGAAATGTGTTATATAGAACATTTCATCATTCAGTTAATTCAGAGAACACCCAGTCAAGTTCTGACATCGCTCTGAAAAGTTATTATAATTTTGAAATTGTGACAGATGTACAACTTTTCCTCTTTTGTTTCTATAAATGTTTCATGAGTTATAAATCCAGACAGGAACTGTTTCAGACTTTTAAAACCCGCGAGAACATAGTAGAAACTATAGTGGAAACAAGGGTACACCTTTTCCTTTTCTTGGATGTAGTGGCATCAATATTCCAGGCAGGGCATTTTATTAATAAACTGTTTTTCTAGTAAAATGATTGATTTCACACAGCAGATTCTTATTCCAGAATCAGTACAAGGTTTCACCATAATTCTCTGTAATCATTTCATATTAGTGTTTCCTAAGGCTGTGCTTTAAAATCCCATGTTATCTAACCTGTTCAACAATACATTACTAGCAGCTTTGTTCAGAACCCTCTTTTACTCTTTAGAATATATCCAGGATCCCTACTTCTCTATGCAAAACTACAAGCACATTAATTTAACATTAATGGTAACATCTTTCATTTTCATCTATAATGAAAAGAGCTCTATTCTCAAGGCAGAGCTTATGCTAATATTAACATGCAACTCTTGTTTCCCCTTTAGGAACAAAAATAAGAATATCTTCCCTTTGTTCCTTCTTGATCTGTTACCCAAACGTTAAATTTGCTTTATAATGCCTAATTAGCATGGGCCAAGAAACACAGAACAAAGTTTGCAGTAGGGGTATGTATTTGAATATACCTGAGCCAAAATTAAACACAAAATTAGCTGTTTTGGGTAAGTAAAGGGGTACCTGAAATTACCCAGAACACTCCTGAAAACCTGGGGGCAATGAAAATTTATCTCATGACATTTCAGGAATGTTTTGGTTTTGGGGAGGAGCAGGAGTAGAGGGGGGGGAATGATTAGCCCTTGCAGACAGTGGAGAGACAAAAGCCAGGTCTACCTGCCACTGGGATTTTCCGTAGCAGGTAGACCTGGCCTCTGTTGTCCCTCTATCAGAAGTTAGTCAGCATCAGCTGTTAGGAGGGCTTCTAGTTGTTTGAAAATTTAAAGGGGTGGCAAACGCGAACTAACAGCTGTCTGGCAAAGCCAGCTTCCTCTCTCCCTGCTCCTGCTGCCTCAGTAGTGGTGGTGGTGGAAAAAACAGTCCCAAATTTTCAGGAAACACACACACAAAATCCTGAAGCAGCAATGAGAGTCCAGAAACTTTGTAATAATGAAAAACATGCCCTCCCCAAAATGCAGATTCAAAATAAACACACTTTAAAAAAAAAATGCATACCCTAGTTTGCAGAGAAGGTATGTTGCATTAATTAAATTGCACTGATAGTCCCCTGAATAGGAGGTATATAGCATAAATCTGTACACAACTTCATAACCTGCTTTACTAAGCAATGCATACTATGTGCTTCAAATCCATGACAAACCTTGTAGATTTGTCTCTCATGAGAAAGTGTTTCTCCCTTCTGAAATACTACCAATGTCAAAGCTGTCTGATCTAGATTTCCCAAGTGAAGGTCACATGTGACCTTAATTATCATTAGATTGTATTGCCCAAGATGCAAAAATAGGATTTTTTGTTAAATCTGCCAGGGATCTTATGCCATACCATCTCACAGTCTAGTGCAAATACACCATGATTTCCACCAAGTGGAGGTGGCTTGATGAAAGTCTTCACAAATCCATCTATGTTTTCCCTTCTTCCATCATGAACATGTAGCTGCAAAATATGAAGAAAGATTCAAATGTTATACTACCTATATACTTCATTAAAACTTAAAATTTCCTTTTCTGGGAAACACTACGTGATAACAACCAGTATTTATGGAGCACTTCCAAATGAAGTGTTCAAATCATGTTTCGGACATTACCACTATAGTCCTTGTAACAGCCTTGTAAATTAGAAGAGGGACTGGCTGTAAATTGTTGGCTTGATTCTTTACCATCATGGTGAAAAAGGAAAAATAGGAATTGAAATGTCTAGGTGCCTTAATATTCCTAAACATTCCTTTTTAGAAGTACACAGTTGTAGTAATACAGGAACAAAAAACCAAAGAACCAACACAAACTATGCTTGGCAAAGTTTGAAAAACTATGCTGTACAGCAACCCTTACCTTTGCAACCTGGCATCCAGGAGACCCAACTACTCCCTCACAACAACTATAGCGTGTTTCCAAACCACCAGGAACTGTTAAACAAAACATTAGAGGCATCTGATTTCTTATCCTTAATATTTTATCTACTATTCTAAACATTAATCTACCAATTATCTTATGTTCAATGAATACATTATTTAAAATATATCAATTAACAAACAAGACATTCTACATTTAATTCAGCAAACACACCAAGGGTTAGGTCTTCTCAGCTTTGTCCTAAGTTAGTAGTCCAAAGACATTCTACATTTAATTTAAATTCTTGTATATTTTCTCTTGGGTCTCTAACTATAGCTGGAATTCTAAGACTCCGACATCCTTTCCCTGTCAAGTGTTTTTTACCGAAAAGAAATCCTCACAGGCTGAGGGCCAAACTTCATGTGATATTCTCTGATTTGAACTCCTGATGTATAATTTGGCCCTTCCAAGCAGCTGTGAAGGTCCTATAGGGATTGGCGTTTTGGAGCCAGGTTAACTACACATTCCAAGTTTACCATCACCTCCACCAGCTGATTTGGCAAAAATAGGGAAGACAGACAGGCTCCCATACTATGCCTCAGCTCTGTGGCTTAAAGCAGCCCAAGGGGGAGCCATTTTTAATTGGGAAAATGGCTGGGGGAAGAGTTACTTCAACTGTCCCCTGCATGGCAGATTCAGACTACACTGTCTCCCCCTCACAGCTGCTCTTTTAGACAAATTACACACCTGGAGTTCCAGTCACAGAACTGGGAGCATCACACATAGCTTAGCCCTAACAAAATATATGAAACCAGAGGTGGGACAGATGAGAGTGGAGGTACTATGGAAAGCCAAGTTAAGTCACAGCAATAACGGATTTATAAATCCCATTTTTCTTGTTTCTGTAACCAAGAATCAGTGACTCGTTGTTTAACAAGGGAAATATAAACAGAAAATGTAGTGTGTGTTTATGTCCTTCATGCTAATTTAAAGAGTAACCTCTTATCACCCTCACCTGGATGGCCCAGGCTAGCCCAAGGAATTCTAGGATCAATATGCAGGGAAAGGCCTCTGTCATTCTCTTGCCTTGAAAAGCCTATGGCATTGCCATAAGTCGGCTGTGACTTGATGACACTGTATGCACACAAACACAACCTCTTATCACTGTTTCAATGTCTATTGCTACAGTAGCCTTTAAATCACTAGCAATTCCAACTTGCACCAGAAAGAGAGAAATTTATTCTTACCTTTATGCCTCAATATTCTACCAGAATGGTAGTTGCATTCTTCTTTCCGGACATGCTTTCCTGACGAATTTACGCTATATGTTTTTCCACACCTACAGCATACTCTTCTGGAAGCTGAAAGCAACAGCATAATTCAGTATCAAGTCAAACTGGAGTTCTGCTAAATTTTATTTGTCCACATTCTTGGCAGAGCAAGTACACCGCAAGAATTAAATAAACTTTATTTAAGGAACCAAACTAACATACTGAACAGAAAAAGAGATAGACAGAGATAGAGAGCTAACTATGTTGCTGGCTAGGAGAGTGTATGTGTGTTTTTGGCATTTCTGAAAAACAGCATATAGCCCAAGAGTAGCATTCTGGAGACAAATGAGGAAATGACAGCAAAGGAAAGAGAACTGAGACCCCCGCATGTCTATTCTGACTAGCTTTCCTTATGCTGCACCCTGTAGGGTCATCTCTTCTTGTACACCAGACATTACCTATTTCGACACACACTTACCCTAAAATTATTTAATCATCATAAGCAGGGGTCATTTCATAGTAAAAGAGCTGCAGTAGCTCATTAGCATGTTGTATGCTAATGAGCTACTAGGCTATTAGCATAATAGCTCATTAGCACATGCAACGCCCCCTGACATCCCTGGAAGTGATGTCAGAAGGGGAAGCAAAAGAGGGGGAGGCATCTTCAAAAGCCTCCCCTTCCCTTCCCCAGCCGGGGGGGGGGAGTGAAGACAGAAGGGGTTTAAAGTTTAAACCCCTTCTCACTAGAATTGGGCTGCAGAAGGAGGAAGGAGGGAAGGAAAAAGAGAGAGTAGAGAGAAGGAACGAAGGAAGGAAACAGTGAAAGAGAAGGAAAGAAGGAGGAGGAAAAGAGAGAAAGGAAGGAAGAGAAGGGAAAGTGAGAAAGAAAAGGAGGGAAAGAAAAAGAAATGGTAAGGAAAGGAGAGAAAGAAAGAGGGCAAAGAGATGGGGGAGGGGGGAGGCTCCCCCACCCCCCCACTCAAGCCTCCACCACTTCCCGCGGATCCCTCACTTACCCCGGGAGGCGGCAGGGGGCCTCTTCTGGCCTCCCCTGGGCTGCAGGCTCCAGCACTGGCCCGGGGAGCCGCAACACTCCAGCGTGGGCCCCGAACAGGTGGCAACAGGCCTTCTCAGGCCTCCCCGGGGCTGCAGCGATGGGCCATAGTGGGGGAGCTGGGGGCGGGGCTTGCTGCTACCGCTATTTTGCCAGCTCCGGGGCTCCCAGAGCGGTGCTCCAGCACACTCCAGCCCCAAAAGACCCCTGATCATAAGCAATTGGAAAAAGCCTAACTGCATTAACTTCTCAGATATGAAAAGTACAAAGCATCACAATTTTAGTCCAAAAGTACAATTCCAGGACAAAATAACAAATTTTCAAAGTAGATAGACCACTGAAAATTAGTTCATATATTCTAAATTTATACAGAACAAGTGATTAAAGTTAGCTGAGCAATATCCATTAAGCCATTAAAATGTGACATGGCTGATTCTTTCCCCCCATTGTTTTCTGATATCTGTAATCCTAGTCCTATTGCATTGTTTATTGTTTCAAACTATTTCATTGTAATGTTTTACATTGTGAAATCTACCCTGAATCTCAGTGAGGAAAGTGGGCTATAAGTAAAATAAATGAGTAAGAATAACAAGGAAATATCTAGTTTAATCTAGAAATATATCTGTTTTTCTTCACCAGTATTTAAAAAAATAAATTTGCAATACGGTATCTAAGGAGCATCAGAATACGGTGGAGATAATCTTATGTTAAAGGCTGTTTTATTTCCTAAAAAATATTCCATATGCCTTTAGCTTTACCACTTTGATCTCATTTACTCACAGTCATATACAGCTGGTTTAACACGCCCAGAGCATAATATAGCACTACCAGGTTTCTCAGGATTTGGTTCTGGGTAGCCATTTTCCTTCAGCTGTTCCTCAGTGAGAGCATAATCTTTTAGAAGTCTATAGAGAGCAATTCCTGTAAAATCTTAAACACATAAACAAAACAATTAACATAACTCTGAAGAGCCATAGTTTATACATTTTCACATCTTTGTCAAGATTTTCAGATTTAAATTTATGGGCAACCACTAGATTCTTATTTTTCTCTGATGAATTCTTACATGCTTTTAAATTCTTCAGAGCTCTTCTGAAGAGTATCTGAGTAGCTATGGAATACTTTGGGAGATGTTTGTCAGATTTAGCCCAAATGATATTTTCTTGCCTATTTTATTTATTTATTTGATTTATACCCCGCCCTCCCTACCGAAGCAGGCTCAGGGTGGCTTACGAACATAACATAAAATATCACATAGCTAAAACCATCTAAAGACAAATCAAAAAGTAAAGTGCTAGCTGGCTGTAAGCTAATACATTAGAGATGGCGGTAACGGTTACTTTCCATTAGTTCTCAATCTTTATCGACTGGCACAGGCTGTAATGGTGGAGTCAGACACCTCTTTAGTGATGATGTTATTGTTAGTGGTGGTGGCAGCGGCTCCTTAGTCGAAGGCCTGGTGGAGGAGCTCCATCTTGCAGGCCTTGCAGAACTATAAAAGATCCCACAGGGCCCTGATCTCTTCTGAGAGCTCGTTCCACCAGTACAGAGCCGCCACCGAGAACACCCTGGTCCTGGTTGTTGCCAGTCTGACATCTTTGGGGCCTGGGAGGGTCAGTAGGTTTTGTGACCCTGAACGCAGTGCTCGCTGGGGTACATATGGGGAAAGGTGGTCCTTCAGGTATGTCGGCCCCTGATTATATAGGGCTTTGCCTTGTACCTATTAAATAATAATTTAGCAAGGACACTTCAAATGACAGACTATTATTTTAGAATGTTTATAGTTGTCTAATGAGTACATAATTATATAATCCATTTTGTCTCTGAAAGTACATCTAGAAGAATTTACATCCATGCTGACAGCTCTGCTGAAGAAAAAAAACCCTACAGAAACTTATTGAAGCATACATTTTTGTATTACTTACAGATTTCTTTTTTAAAAGCTACATCAGCACCACAATGGCAGACACTCTTTATTTCATCCCCCTGAACACTTCTATGTGCATGTCTACATACATTTATTTGTGCATGCGGTTCAATTCCCCTATTAACATCAGTATTTGTGTAAAAGATGTGCAACATGCAAAAGATGTGCAACATGCAAAAGATGTGCAACATGCAAAAGGTGTGCAACCACATGTGGGTATCAGGATTGGGATAAACACTGTCCAGGAAGATTTGTAAGCAGGTGACAAAATGGGGAAGTTAGAAAGCTAGACAGAAGTATTTTAGAACATACAATGTGAGTGCAGCAATTTTCAAAAGGCTACAATATAGTTTTACCATTTTTTTCTTCTTGTTTTCTAAAGCCAGCAGTAGTGCTTCTATTACCAAAATTCCAGCCTACATAAAACAAAAATTAGAGTTATTTTCCAAAGCCAAAAATACCTTACGTACCTAAGCAAACTGATTTCTTACAATTGTTATATGTCATTTATACATATTTATTTTAAAGAACTTAAATTGGTGTACATGTCAATTTAAATTGACATACTTGTCAATGATGAGTAATCACTCAAATTTCCCCCTTCCCACAAAATATGACTTACCATCTGATGACACACTGCTGTGATTCCTCAGTTTTTTAAGTGTGTTCACAGCTATGTTCAAGTATATATTTTTACCACTACAGCGGTCATATATTGCCTTTTCTTCTGCCAATGCCTACATTAAAAATAAAGTGAATATAATAAATACTGCAGTGCTGAACAAAAAACATGGACTTCTCCCCCACTGGAATTGTGAATGGAAACAAACGGGCCCTCAAGAAGCTGGTAAATACAAAACAGGTATCAAACTATTTGGAAAAAAATCTGATCTTCTAAGAAAATGATATCTATTAAGTAAAGATATAACTTAGTTTGCTACAACTTTGTTTTAACAGTAGAAAAGGATAAGAGTCCAATAACTCCTTAAAAGACTAACAACGTTTATGGTAGGGTATGAACTTTCATGACTGTCTGCTCACTTATTCAGATACAGCTAGAATGTTTTAATTTTTTGTTTTAACAGTTCATTTCCAATGTAAGTTCTTTACTCAGTATTGCAACAATAATCTTATGGCCAATCCAGGTGAGATGCTGGGAGTTCCAGGATCAGAGTACCTGGCTCTGGCACCATGAGGCCAATTCTGATTGGGACTGCAGTCCATGAAGGGGAGGTTTAAACCTTCTCCCCTGCACTGTTTCCTGACCTGAACAACCCTGGTGAGATGCTATTTGCCCTGCTGAAACTTAACAGATGCAGGCAGCCATGTGTTCAGGCCAGAAAAGTGATATGAGGAGAACCACGTCCCCACAAGTTGTGACCCAGATCAAAATTGTGCCTCCACTAGCTCGGTAACTACACTTTTCAATAAGCTTGGAGCACCAACCACAGAACTCTCCCCTTCTTGTTTGGTTTGGACCTCAATGTATTCGTTTCCTAAATGCCTCATTAATAAAATATGCTTTTCTCAAACACTTATTAGAACAAGGTTTTAAACATTTCTTCTCAGAACAAGTTCTAAGCAAATATTCCCATCATTTTTGCCTATTTTAAAAAAAAAAGGAACATGAACCCAAACCTGTCAGTAGGATAAGAAAAGAAGCAAAAGCATAGAAATTTGGGTGTCAAACGTAAGGCCCATGGGCCAAAAGCAGCCCGCCCCTGGTTTTAATCAGGCCCGTGGCTCTTTTCTCCCTCCCTCCTGTCCTCACCCTTTGATGCTTGAGGCTGCAGAAGTTTCCAGCTCCCTTTGTCTTGTCTTTGCCTGCTTTGGCAGGCAGCTCTTCTGGGTTTGCAAAGTTACAAGAAACCCATTGAATGGATTTTTCCATTAGGGTCTCTACACCCAGATAGACTACTCTGGGACTTTTTCCAGCAACAGAAACAGTGCTCTAGGACTGGAATGACAGCCCCCAGAGTAGAATGACGGTCCCTAGCAATAGAATCTGTGTTCCGGGACTGGAATGACAGGGCACAGAGTGGAATGACAGCTCCTGGGAGTAGCAGCAGCATTCTGGGAATCGAATTCCACTCTGGGGGCTCTCATTTCAATCCCAGAATGCTTCTGCTACTCCCAGGGACTGTCATTCCAGTCCCAGAGTAGTCTATCTGGGCCCAGACACCTTAATGGGAAATCCATTCCGCATTTTCTCTGCAACTTTGTCAGCATGTATTTCAATGGAGTGGAGATCAAGAAGTTTCACTTTCCAGTGTTTGTATAGTTGAAGCTGTTGCTTGCTGGAGCTGTCTCCTTGCAAATACAGGATTGATGTTTTGAGCCAGCTTGTCTCTGCTGAATGGACCTGAGAACGGGTGCTTGAGTGAGTACTCTAACCTGGGAACCCATAGCCAAAGGGGGACATTACACTGGAGAGTCACTGCCACTCTGAGTAGACCTGGGGGGGAGGGGAGAAGCTTGCAATGCCAAGCCATTTTATGTTCCTAGGCTCAGAGCATTTTATATTTTTAGTTTTTGCTGTGATCCTTGGCTTTTTCTTGATTTTTTATTTTAAAAATTACATTGCCAAACCCCACTATTCACCCACCTTTCCATTTTAGGCAGGCATCTTTTTTTGGGGCGGGGGAGATTTTGGAGGTATCAGTTATCAAAGACTGCTAAATAAACAAAATATCCCAAGAGTTTTAAGCATATTTGTATTTTAAGTAGAAAAAATAATATCTTTAATTGTGTTTGTACCTTTTATAAAGTTTATATCGCTGCTACCTGGCATTCCATTTTATGACACACATGGCCTGGCCCCACAAAGTCCCATTTATGTCAGATCCAACCATTATAACAAATGAGTTCGACATCCCTGGCTTAAACTGTTAGCTTGACCTTCATGGCAAACTGTCAAACATCTTATTAACACAATGACTAAATACCTTTGCAACATGACATTATTTTCCATATCTATTAAGTGTCCTGTAACTTTGTGTCATAACTTTGTTTAAAAGATACTTATACTATTCTTCTTACATGCCCAGGGAAATGCTGATTGCCACTTTGGGGTCAGGAAGCAATTTTTCTCCAGGTTAGTTTGGCCAGGGAACTTAGAGGTTTTTTGTCATCTTCTGGGCATAGAACAGCAGTCACTGTGCATGTGGAGGGGGAGGTTTTTGTGAATTTCCTGCACTGTGAAGGGGATTGGACTAGATGACCCTGGAGGTCCCTTCCAACTCTATGATTCTATGAAATGCAAACCTTGTCAAAAGCTTCATTTACTGTTGTACAAACTTTTAAGAATCCTTCCACAAAAAAATTGACATATCGCTGTCTTATGTCATGTGGTACTTTAGATCCAAGTTCTGGAACAACAGAAGGTCTTTTCCGACTTGATACCTGAAATTGTATATTTATTTTAATATGCTAAGTGCAAGGATTTAAATTATACAGAGCAGAATAATTTTTAACACACCTCTATAGCTACAGACTCTATTTTTGTTCTCTCTTACCCCACCCCAACATATGCAATATTAATTCACTAAGATCTGCCTGAATGTTTCAGCTTTTTCTTTAATAAAAAGGATGTTAATGCTAAAAGCTAACAAAAATACAATGAGGCTGCCGCTCATGTTAAAGAAGTTTCCAGCATGTGTATATGGCGCACTTATCCTTAGTTCTTAGTTCACAAAAGTGAGTGGAGTCTGCAGACAGGAGTACTAAAAGATTTACTGGTCTTTGCACTGACCACTATCTACACATTGCCCTATTTCGTTTTTTAAAAGATCTTGCTGAACTTACCCACTCATCCAGCTTCCAAGAGATAACAGATTATTGCAAAAGCAGCTATATAGTTAAAGGTGGAAGGAAAATCTACTCTTTCATTAATTAACATTAAAAAAATTATATAAGCTTCCTCTGGACACCGCCCCGCCTCCACATTTCCAAACTCAGTTCTTTCCAGGCATATTTAGTCATTTTTAAAAAAATAGAACAGTGATGTTAATCTTCTGCTATAAGCTACAATAAACAGGGAAGAGTGAGGACAGAAGCTAACTACGTAATAATACTAAACCTATCCAGCAAAATTTGAAGCAAAAACAAATATCGGCAGCCACTGCAAACCTAGTACATAAGTAAATTAAGTATTTACTGCTGAATACAATGTGCTTCCTACACAGAAGACTTCTACTCAGTAGTAGTGTAAAGAAAAAATGTCATACCTTACTTGGTATGGAAGCAGTCCTTCCGATGGAATTACTGGAAAGCCTACATGGCATTGCTGTCAATGCACTTCCAGGAAGTAGTACCTTCATGTGACTGCTGCTGCTTGAAACTGGCTGGACTTCAAATACATTTAAATGAACTGAAATAGATAAATACAATTGTTTGAAACTACATCTATCAATAAAGTTTAATTTCTTGAAATGCCAGTCTGATTAACCCTTATTTCGGAGCTGAACTTCAGTAAGATCTTGAAGAATATTTCATGACAGCCAAGTAACTAAAATAGTTAATGTAGTCACTGATTTATGTAACGGCTATAATGGCCTGTCCCAGTTATCCCCTGATCCAGTGGTCATTTAATAGAAAAAGAGGTGCAGGAGCTCATTAGCATAACTCATTAGCATAACTTATTTGCATATGCCACACCCCCTGACATCACTGGAAGTGTGTCAGAAAGCAACACCCACCGCTCAGGCTCCACTGGACAGTTTCGGATTGCTAGCTATTGGGGGGGGGAGGAACATGCAGATCTGTCCTCGCTTGTACTTGAATAAAACTTGGTCTTAAAGGTGCCACTGGACTGTTTTGGGTCAGGGGGCCAGGCTCTGCAACTTACCTGGCTGCTTCTTGCTCTGACTGAGGGCTGCTGGGAGCAGGGGGTGGGGCTTGTTGCATGTGCCCGCCTCCTGGGCTCTTTACTGCCGGAGCTCCGCTCCTGTGCGCTCCTGCAGGAAATGACCCCTGCCCTGATCTCATAAAAAGTCTCCCTACTACTACTGCACCAAGCAACCAGTTCCTAATTGCAGTCTCATGCACACTTTCTCCTTGAGTTTTGGAAGGAACGAATCAGAAATTCTGTGAGTCGATAGTTGTCATTACTGCATGTAACATCAATGAATAAGGCTGTAAGTGTCAAAGCTATCCTTGGTAAACCAAGACTAGTTCCACCATGGTTATTTCAAGGCAGCTCCACTGATTTGCAGAAAATACTAGATATTGTTAAATGTAACTACTACAGTATATATTTCACAATGAGTCTTATTTTTGTATCATTCTTTACTGTCCCTTGTCCAACTAGCTAAAATCACATTTCAGTATTATTTTCAAAGCAGTAGAATATTTAATATAGCAATATTGAAGGTATCTCTCCAGAACTAAAACAGAGGAGGAGGTTGTCCTGGAGGTCCTAAAAAGTCCAGGGCCTCTAAGTGAAATGTCCTATGGGGAAACAGACATCACTAGCAACCTTCAGAGGCAAAATGCTCTCTCTCTCCAGCTAGCTCTTACTCTGTGGGGTCCTAGAGACACAGCATACATGATACAGAAAGAAGAGCTGATGCCTTGGCCCAGCTGGTAATACAATGCACAAATTCTAGCTTCATCTGGACTATCTGGAAAATCAGCTAAAGCAGCAATCTATGTTGGAAAGCAACTACTAGCCTCCAGCTCTGTTGTCCTACTCACTCAAGTACAAGGGCAGCAAGAATTTGGCTTGAATGGTTGTGTGCTCTTATTTATACATAGATTAGTGAAATGGGGACAAAGGGGTGGCATGTGCATAACTATTTATTGGTCCTAACTTACCTATAAATCATCTGTAATGTCCTTTGCAAATGTCTAAATGATCCGTGCATAGGAGGCTTCAGGCCTGATCTGTACCAAAAACTGTAATTGCCTAGTTCTCTGCATACCCGAGAATAGAACTCTCAAGAGTAGGTTTTGTTTGGGGGAGAGAATAGGAGGAGGAGGATACAGAGCATACTTTAAGAGACTTCTAGCGTCAGCTAAAAGAGCAATCAGGTTAAAAAGCAAACAAAATCTGCTCAATACAAACACATTCTTAATTCAGATTAGGGAACTATGATGTATCAATTGATCATACCCATGGGTTCCATGTTTTGAATCTGAGTAGTTGGTATTACTGGTGCACTTTTCCTTGAGCCACAAGCTGCAGCAACAAAAGCTTGACCACTTTTAACAGCAGCTGTTATTTGTACTGCCTGTTGTTGTGCTTGTAGGATCCTGGAATGGTAAGGCTGTTGAGGAAGTCGTGCCTTAAAAGGTACAATTATTTCTTTGGTGGTACTAACCTGTTGGGTAGCAACAGAGAATCATTTCTATATTCAGCAAATATGATACAATGTTTGAAATGTAATTCCAAGACTGTATAAAAGTATCTCCCAAATGATGAACAGTTCATGAAACAGCTAGACACCAATATCAATCTGATTTTAATGTAGCATATGATTTTAATGTAGCTCTGACAGTTTGGCTGTTAAGAGCTGGTTCACAAATGCTCATATGCAAAATGAATTCTCATCACGTGGTTACACAAACATCCGATGACCACAGGTGACCATACGAACTTTCTCCCCGGAACTGTATCGCATATTTAGGGGATATAAAAATCTCTTCAGTTTTGTAAACTGATCAATCATTCACATGAGCAAGTCAGCACTTAAGATCAAGTGATGAAAATGCATGTTTGAACTTGTACTAGTTTCTACACTAAAAAGTTTTACACTTTATACCTTACTATTATGAATTTCCTGTGACAATGCAAGCCTTAAAATCTGTCTGAGGGGAAGGTCACCAGGACAGACACCAAGTCCTGAAAAGAAAAGTTGAAAAAGCTGGCCATGTTTAGCATGAAGACGACTAAGGAGAGTCGTGATTACTGCCTTCAAGTATCTGAAGGGTTACTGCACTGAAGAAAGAACCTATACATTCTCCCGTGCTCCAGGAATAGAACTGATAAATGGCAATTACAAAAAAGTAGATTTCAGCTAAATGCTAGAAGCAGCTTCCTAACTATAAGAGTTAGTCAACAGTGTAACAGACTACCTCTGAAGGCGGTAGACACTCCTTCCCTGGTGATCTTTATGCAGAGACTGGATAGCCATCTGTCAGTGTTGCAATACTGTAGTCGCATATTCCTGCACTGAGCAGGGATTTAAGACTAAAGGACCTCCAATGTCTCTACCAACTATATGATTCTAACAGTCCAGTCCCAAGCAGAGTTAACCTTTCTAAATCCACTGAAGTAAATGGTCTTAGAAAGCTGCAGTTATTCATAGGACAGCATTCCAGACCAAACAGGTTTTGTTAGAAAAAGATACAACTATCCTAAGAACACCTTCTGTGAAGTAAGCCCCACTGAACAGAATTGAACAGGATCTTGAGTAGGCCTTCTTAGGATTGCTCTTTGTAGCTCTAAAACAATTTCTCAGAAATGTTTATAATAAAAAGTAATAGAAACTCAAGGTTTCTGTCACCTGCTTCTAAAATGCTGTACCTCTAGATTGCATTTTGCTATATCAAGTAACCATCTCAGAATACAGTAAAATGGCTCATTTTGAATTATTACATAATGCAGTGATCATATCTAAAACATTTTTTAGAGTCTCTGAATAGACAAAAGTTCATTTTTAAACAAAATGTTCAACATACTTGCTTTATTACTGTGTCAACTTCAGTCAAGTATGAGGGTTAGTAGATCCAATTAGCAACACACATACGCACACAATAATAAAATATTCTCAAAACCTCTCAGATGAAAACTTACATCAAATTTTGCAGTGTGTGCAATTCTTCTTTTCTGTCCAGGAAGCAGACTTGCCTTTGAATCAGAATCTGCTTCTGGTTGTGCTGCAAGTGCCTGTTTAAAAAAAAATTCAATAATCCCAAGAAATTCCTTTTGTATTGCAACTTTGAAAATAAGAACTGCATAAGGTATTAGTTTTAATCACTGCACTTCTACTGAAATTTTAAACTCTTAACTTGCAAAATGCGGAATCTGAATGAAATGTTTACCATTACAGGAATCCTTAATTTAATGAAAGTTAGTTTTTCTACATACATTTACTGCTAGCTTAAAGTTTCTGTCGCCTAATAGCCCTGGATTCTCAAATGGATGTGCTTTGGATTTTCATATGATAAAGCAAAACTACTAACAGCACACTAAAATACCACTGATAAAAGTTTTTAAAAGGACTAAAGTACATGAAAAAAAACCCACTGATGAACGCTACCTGCTTTGCTATTTCTTCCTTCTGTACTTCACATTCAACAAACTCATTGAAAATTTTTTGACATTCTTCCATGGTATCATCAGAAAGTTCTGTATCTTCTTCAGAATCATCTTCTCCTGAAGAGTCTAGTACAATTATTTCATCTTCTTTGATATTTGCATACACACTTTTATCATTGTGCTTTTTATCAGGGCTTTCATAAAAATGAATTTTCCCATCCAGATTCACAGGACTGCTCTGTGCATTGTTCTGTACTTTACTTTTTTCATACCGCTGCAGGCTCTGAAGTGTCCCTAAATGATCTGATGATTTTTTGGAAATGTCTATAACTCCAGCCTGTGAACGGTCTTTAGAATAAGTTTTAGTCTGGGCTTTATTCAGCAAAGTCTTGCAGTTGTTCATCTGCTCTTTCATATTACTTGTTTTAATGGAGATGTTCACAGAATTCTGTTTCAGAGTTTCTTTCTTAAGCTCACCCTTCATCTGAGACTGAGACAATATGTTAATTTTCTCCATAATATGATGTTCTCTCTGATCATCAGGATTACTTTCTTCATTTGAAGTGGTCACATGTACAACATTTGGAAAGTAAAAGTTTTCATTTGTTGCATATTTTATTCCAGTTTCTTTTTTATTATTTTTTCTATCATTATCTAGAGCAACTGTGATATCTTCTAGCTTCCTTCCCTCTATACAATATGAAGACTTTGATTTCTCAGAGCTTTTCAGAGCTTCTGCTTTACTTCCAAAACTCAATTCATTTTCTACCTTTTTCCATTTTTTACAGGATTTAATTATTCTTGGTTTCTTTGACACATTGACCAGTGGAGCATCTATTACAAGCACATCATCATCTGTTTCCTGGAGTTTTATTTCAAGTTTTATTGGTGAAGAGCTTCTTGATCTTTTCCTTGGAAATCTGTATCTATTTTCACATGGAGCTTTTATTGTTGATCCTTGCAAATTTCCACCAGAGAATATTTTTACTTGCTGCCTGTCATTTTTATCCTCTTCCTTAAAGGAAGACCTAAGCAAACCGGAAGAATAATTAAGTAACGGGTCATATTCAAGATCAGTAGCTGGACGGCTACGATCAAGAGTATATTTACTGGATTTGTAAGAGTCCTTCAAGGTTGAAATGACATTAACATTGTCTTTTGTAAGAGTACTACTAAGATGGCCTTCATCAGAAAAACACCTGTTTCCTTCAGGGTCATCTATTGCAGGAGTCAAAGTATTTCTGAAGTCATCTTGCCCCAAGTTATAGCACAACAACTCCTTTTGTCCTTCTTCAACTTCAGTCTTAACTGACTGAATTGCTTTGTTGATCCTTTCTAGTTCTTGGATATTTTTACCCAGCCCTGCTGATTGGAAGAAAGTTATATTATTCTCAAATGTATATACAAAATGGCTTCACTTATATTTAAAACTCAAGCATTAAGACCCATAGTTCTGTTAAATTGCAAATAAAAAGGCACAATAATTTATAACATGAAGTAGGCAGATTACAGGACACAAACCTGTAGCCAATATAACTTACTAGTTATTTTCATGAAGAATAATCCAAATACTTGCAACTGAGTCATTGTGAATGAACAGTTTCACATATGTCATTGTTCAAACTCTTACCAACTACAAAACTAGTGCAGCAGAGAGTCACACCATTGTAGTTAATATAAGTATGCCTTTTTGTTGCTAATGTAGCCCACTTATACTAAAACTTAAATCTGTATTAAAATGCAGATAGTTCCCACTTGATTTACTATAACTACTGATAACATGAAGCTTATTTTTCCTCTAGTTCCACCACAAATCAACCTGTACTAAAGTCTCAATTTTAAAAACAGCAAAAAAAATCTTTATTACTAGTACAACTATTGGAATAGCCTGAACAGTAGAACCATCAAAGTGGGGAAGCTACTCAAAGTGCCTCTGAATATTTGAAGAACTTAACACTAAATCCCCATATAGATGTCAGCCAGAAAGGAAAACAAGACAGGAAGCAGGCTATCCGTGCTTCCCCACATGTTGAAGCAGATTGGGAAGGGCTGGGAAGGGGGCTGGGAATAGGGAGAACTCACCAGGTTTATCAGGGTGCTTTTGTAACCTGAGGCTCATTAAGAAACTGTAAAAACTTGAGAATCACAGATTACACTAGTTGTAACTGGCTATCACAAACAGCCAGCTCAGAGTTGGGAAATACCTGTGGGTGGAGCCTGAGAAGGGTGGGGGAGGGGAGGGACTTCAATGGGGTATAATACTGTAGAGTCCACTCTTCAAAGCAGCCATTTTCTTCACTTGAACTGATCTCTGTTGTGTGGGGGTCAGTCATAACAGCAGATCTCCAGCTACCTCCTGGAGGCTGGCAACCCTACAGAGGCTATGAAAAGTTGAAGGCAGTAGGAATAGATCATGACCCAACATGAGATGGATTGACTCTATAAAGGAAGTCATGGCCCTCAGTTTGTAAAACCTGAGCAAAACCACAGGACGTTTTGGAGGACATTAAACTCAACATAAAAAAAAAAAACTAAGATCATGGCATCCAGCCTCATCATTCCTTGGCAAATAGAAGGGAAAGTAAGATAATTCATTTTCCTGGGATCCAAGATCACTGCAGGTGGTGACTGCAGCCATGAAATTAAAAGACTCCTGCTCCTTGGGAGGAAAGCTATGGCAAACCTAGACAGCATAATATAGAGACATCACCCTACCAACCAAAGTCCATATGGTCAAAGCAATGGTGTTCCCAGTAGTAATGTATGGCTGTGAGAGTTGGACATAAAGAAGGCCAAGCGCTGATGCTTTTAAATTCGATGCTGGAGAAAACTCTTGTCAGTCCTAAAGAAAACCAACCCTGACTGTTCCCTGAAAGGCCAGATGCTGAAGCTCAAATACTTTGGCCACCAAATGAGATGGGAGCACTCACTGGAGAAGACCCTGATGCTGGGCATGATTGAATGTAAAAGAAGGGGATGGCAAAGGATGAGATGGTTAGACAATGTTATTGATGCAACGAACATGAAATTGAGCAAACTCCGGAGGTTGGCGGAAGACAAGAGGGCCTGGTGTGATGTGGTCAATGGAGTCACAAAGAGTCACACTTGACTGTGTGACTGAACAATTCATAGGGTCACCATAAATCAGGAAGTGATTTGAGGCACATAACTCATACACTAAATAATCCACTTTCCAACTGGATTTTGCCAGGCGGTAAAATCCATCTTGAAAGTGCAATGAAAGTGGATTATTTAGTGTGTGTGACCTCAGCCACAGAGAGATCATTCAGACCTTGAAGCAGGAACACAACATTCTCCCCTAAACTTGATCCTCAGCAGTGCCAGGGCTCAGTGGGTCTACAGCTGGGAATATGGATTGCTTTTCAAATAAAAAGCAAACGCGTTCACCCAGAGCCAGTTTTCGTATGCCGGAAAAAAGCCCTGCAAAACCAAAAATATTTTGATGCAGCAGCACCACCCAGAGGCGACTGCGGTTAACAGGGTTTAAAGCACAAGAACGGGTTATTGTGCTAGGTCTTGTGTTTTAATTACTTAATGATGGGATTCGTAACGTATTCTATAAAATAATTCGGTGAGGCAGGAAACCTCGCTTTTGCTGAATGGGACCCTAGTATCCCAACTGCCAATCGCTCTTTACAAACGCAGCGCACAGCATCGGAAACCGGTCCGTAGAAATTATCGCACAAATCCTTCGGTAAAGACCGTGACGCGATGGGAAGAGGGCACAACGCCACACCTATCCAAGCGAGCCGGGAGAGGGGGGGTGGAATATCACAACGATATTCAGTGGACCGGCACGTGAAAATCAATTAAAATGAATTGCAAGCGGTATGAGCGGCGGCGGCGGCGGCTTCCCCCTCAGGCCCGTGCGTGCAATCGCTCCCTGCTCACCCCCCCCCCCCCGGCTCACCCAGCGAAGGGGAACCGCTCAAGGGCTGCCGCTGCTGGGGATGGAACGGATGCACCCGCCGCCCGGACTTGTGCCTGTACTGGCAGTAAGGCCGCTGGCACCCGCGGGTGTCAAAGGGGCAGGAGAAGTGCCTGAAATAACCGGCGGGGCGCAACATTCCCTTCCCCGACCTCCCTCAGCGGCCAGAGAAAAAAGGCGCGCAAAAGAAAAGCCCGCCGAGCACGTGGCGACGGTTAACAGCGCGAGGCCACGTTTGACGCGAACCTTGACCCTCCTCCCGCCCCCCGGCCGTTCGAAGCAAGCGTTTTCTTACATTTAAACGGGGAAGCCTCGCCCTCACACCCACTCGGGGGCGGGGCTTTCGCTTTCACAGGCCCAATCAGGGAGGGCCTTTTTTCCGTCCCTGCCTCTTAGCATTCCTCCCTGAGGAGCCTAATTAGCCGCGACTCTTTGTGTTTTCCCCGTTGCTGCTGGCTGAGGCTCGTTTTGCTAGAAGGAGAGGAAGGTGGGTTTAAGACGCTGCGGGAGTTCCTCCTGGAAACTTCTCCTGGCGCAGTGTACTTTGTCCAGTTTGCACGACTGTTGGTTTTGGACTCACACAGCTATTCTCAGTCTTTGCCTCTGCCTTGGATGCATGCTATAGTGAACTTGTGTACGTTCTGTATGTGCATGTTTTTAAGAAGGAACGGCATTATAAATACAACTTGGGGCCAGTCACTGGGTCTGTGTGGGGTTTAAATCGTGTTGAGTTGTACAGGTTTTGAATGTACCATAAAAATGATTCAGTGTGCATATACAAAGAAAAAGCGTATGTTACGTAGATTCTATATGGATTGGATGCTGCTGTTGTAGGAATCCTGCCACTGTGCTGATCTTGTGTATGGTTGAGATCATTATTATGTTCCCTCTAAGCTGTGGAGACTTGTGAGCAAAAATTCTACTTTGTGAGCTGCTGGCATTAAAGTTGTGAGCAAATGATTTGGCTACTGCATAAATTAGCTTGCTCTGGAGCCCTCCTCCCTGAGCTAAGACAAAAATCTGTGAGCTGGAGGCTAAAATTCTGTGAGCTAGCTCACACTAACTCAGCTTAGAGGGAACACTGGTTGAGATGTGTGTAGTAATGTCACTGGCTGAACCATTTACATTTCAGTGCCTTTACACCTGACCACTTCTATCCATGCAGCTGTTTTAGCGGATAGATGTGTCACCTCCAAGACTGTTTTCTCTTAATTTTTTTCACAAATCCATTTTCTCTCTAGTATATATTGAACTGGACAGTCTAGGTACACACTGTAATAAAAAGTGTACAAATTCTGCAACAAGACAAGCTGAATTCTGTGAATTTTGCACATTGGGTAAATCTGTGCTGCATTCTGCATAACTTCTGCAGTTTTTACTGTTGTGAATATGTTCTACATCTAGTACTTATGGGAAGGGACAAAAATCTATGGAGTGCACTGAATCTCCATCCCTGTCTGTCAGAGCTGACATTACTCACATATTTTCCATCATGCCATTGCAACCGTATCTTTGCTTTTTTTTGAACCATGGGAATGAAAACATTTAGGAAGTTGAAATCTGGACAGCAGCGTATTCTGCAGCTTTGCTGTGCAGTACACACGCAGATCTGTTTATACTTCAGGGTTTACATTTTATGTCTGTGTAACTTCCAAAAGTACACCAATCCATTATCACCTTACTGCTGCTGTGAATGGTCCCTATGCCATACACTATCCATTTGAACTCTGTGTAGATGTGGATGGCCCTTTTTAAGGCATTCTTTTAAGTCCACATTAACAGCTGCCTGACATATTGACAGTAAGGATATGCAAATTTAAGGATGGGGACGGCTACCCTGGCTGGCCAAAAAAGGTCAGTGACACGCACCAATTCTTTCAATATACCTGCATTTCAAGGGGAAATTTAACAAATTAATAGATTTTTACTTAAACCCTATGAAGAGTTTATGCAATTTGAAATATAGATTTCATTTTTAATAAGTTTGTTGCTTAATGTGGTCCCCTTTGTCACATGGAAGATTATACTTCTACCGTAAATTACATTGAACAGCCACTGTAGATATTTACCTTGGATGATGGAGATTATTTATTCCCCCATGGAGTTATGAAGCTCTCAACCTAGCCTGTTTCACAGAGACATTCTTGTGAGGATAAAAATGTTACTGGAAAGTATAGGTCATAAACGCTATAAAGAATAAAGTCTATAGAACATGAATCCCAGTATTTGTGGGACATATTGTGTTTGCCTTCTTTCAAGCACCTGGAGAATTATTTTATGGCGCAATCCTAAACAAAGTTACACCCTTCAGTTGAAGTCAACTCTGCTTTGGACTCCATTGCTGTACAAACACATGCATCTGTTTTATACTGAGTGAAAGCATTGGCCAAAGTCCATATTGTCTACTGTGACTGGCAGCAGCTACCTCATCCTTTTTCAGATGGAGATACTCGGGACTGAACTTCAGATCGTCTACATACAAAGCAGATGCTGTACTACTGAGCCATGGCCCTTTGATTTACTGATTTTAAAGAAGTGGTAGGGTTCTATTTTCATGGTTTTCCTCCCCTTATCCAGTAAAAACACAAGATTATTTAAAAAAGAAAGAAAAGAAGGTAAGCTAACCAATCTGAAAAGTGGACCTGCAGTATTACTGAAAGTGCCTAGTCCCTTTCACCATTTCCTCCCATAGCTATCTCTGGCCATTACTGATTTTATTATTCAATAATTTATATAATAGATGCAATAAGTATAAGTGGGTTAAAGTGGCAAGCAGGTTGTCGCCTTTGAAGACGTGCATATTATTCAAAACTAGTGGTATGGGGGACTCCAGTGGGAACTAAAGTAAAGCGTTCTACAAAATCTTTCCTAGATGAAGCATTGATTGATTATTATGATGGAGGGAGTGGAGGAGCAACTCTCTCTAGCTACCTTTAGACTTGCTCCCACCAATTCCAAAGTACTACGTAGGTCAGGTATACATACACATGTGAAGAGGGAGGGAGATGATATGGAGGAGGAGGATTTCATGCTTTGTGGGTAGGGGCACTGCAGGGCATCTTGTCAAGCTCCACCCCCCTCCAAACCCGAAGCTAGTTCTAGCTATATGCCATAGTTTTGACAAACTTGCTTGTTTCTTGGGGGTCTGCAGTGAGTTGTCTATGCATTCTTTTTTGTACTGATTTAATCTCATTAATACATAATTGCTCTATTTTTTATTTTCACGTCTGTGTCACTACTCCAGTGCAACTATAATAGGTCATCTTTTAGCTGTAATTAAAGAATCAGGTGCAGGCTATACTAACATTGGTTTTTTCTCCAAGCAACACCCTTTCGCTCCCAGCTTCCTTAGATAAGCTGACATTTATTGTTTTATCACATTGTTCGCCACTCTGAACATACTCTGTGGAAAAGCAGGACAAAACTTTTTCAAGTAACTTAAGTAAAATACAACAAAGTTTGAGTCCAGTGGCATCTTTAAGACCAACAAAGTTTAATTCTGTATATAAGCTTTTGTGTGCATACATCTGTGCGTGCACACAAAAGCTTATACCCAGAATTAGGCTGCAATCACACGTGCTAAATAATTCACTTTCAATGCACTTTCAGTGCACTTTCTGACTGGACTCTACTGTGTGAACTGGCAAAATCCAGTTGGAAAGTGCGTTGAATGTGGATTATTTAGTGCGTGTGATTGCAGCCTAAATGTTAAAGGTGCCACTTCAAATGTTGCTCTGTTACTTCAGACCACCATGGCTGCCCACCTGAATCTAAGTAAAATGAATTAATATCACCACCAACATAAAATCATAGCGTTGGAAGGCATCTCCAGGTTCATCTAATCCAACTCCCTGCACAATGCAGGACATTCACAAATACCTCCACACCCACAAATGACCGCTGTTCCACACCCAGAAGATGACCAAAAAAAAACCCCTTCATGATCTCCAGCCAAACTGGCCTGGAGAAAAAAATTGACTAACAAGGATTCTCTTGCTTAAGTGGAGAAAGTGTCAGTAATATTTAAACCCAGTTAAGGCAAGAAGGATAGTAATAATAAATAAAGGGGCCATACCGTTCATCTAGTCCAACCACCTGCTCAGTACAGGATCAGCCTAAAGCATCCCTGACAAGCGTTCATCCAGCCACTGCCTGAAGACTGCCAGTGAAAGGGAGCTCACCATCACCCTACACAGCTGATTCCACTGCTGAATTACACTTCCTGTAAAAATCTTTCCTAATATCCAGCTGGTACCTTTCTGCTCATAATTAAAACCCATTATTGCGAGTCCTATCCTCTGCTGTCAAGAGGAACAGCTCTCTGCCCTCCTCTAAGTGATAGCCTTTCCAATACTTAGAGCGATCACGTCCCCTCTCAACCTCCTCCAGAGTAAGCATTTCCCAAGTCCCTCAGCCTTTCCTCATAGAGTTTGGTCTCCAGGCCACTGGTCATCCTCATCACTCATTCTGTCCACATCCTTTTTGAAGTGAGGGCTCCAGAACTGTACATAATACTCCAGGTTTGGCCTGACCAATGCAATGTACGGCAGGACTATGACATCCTGCGATATGCCTCTGTTGATACCGCCCAAGACTGCATCAGTCTTTTTTGCCTCTGCATCACACTGACTGCTCATATTTTGCTTACAGTCCACCTGAACCCCACAATCTTGTTCACACACACTGCTACCCAGAAGCGTGTCCCTCATCCAGTTTGCGTGCTTCTCATTTTTTTTACCCAGATGCATTTAGCCTTGTTGAATTGCATCTTGTTCACTACTTTTCCAGTCTGTTCAGATCTCGTTGAATTCTATCTCTATTTTGGTGGGTATTCACTACTCCTCCCAATTCGGTGTTATTTGAAAATGTAATGAGTAGTCCCTCCACCCCCTCATCCAGATAATTTATAAAAATATTGAAAAAGTATCAGGCCCAGAACCAAGCCCTGTGGCACCCCACTGTACACCTCCCTCCAGTCAGATAAAAATGCCATTGACAACTACTCTTTAGGTGTGGTTTTCCAACCAGTTGCCTATCCACCTAACTATCCTAGAGCCCAGTCCACAGTCCTCCAGTTTACCCATCAGAATATCATGAGGAACCCTGTCAAAAGTTTTACTGAAATCCAGGTAAACAATG